TGTATGCATCTTTGGACCTCAACCCCCATAGGACACTTTTTTAGGGTTGTTAAATATCTTTCCAACAAGCTTTGAACCACCTCATTTGGATGTGTGGTTAGGAAGCTATGATCATTTCAAGTTGGCTTAAAATTAGGGTTTTTCATGAACCCTGGTTTCTTGATTTGCAAGTTATCCATCAATCCTTGATTAAATACTCACCAAACTCACTATTTAGGCACAAAATGATGTTGGAAGACTTTCTTGCTTCAATTTGGGGTCAAAACCCTAAAAGTCAAAGAGTTGACTTTCTAGACAAACGAATCGAATGACTGAAATCTTCAGGATCGATCCTCAGTGTTCTGGGTTCTTTGAGCCTTTCAAACTCCTTGGTGATACTTTAACAAGTCATAGGGATACCATGAACCATGATTCAAGCTTTGAAAAACCATTTAAGCCAAAATTCAAACTCCAATTGACTTTTTCCACTAGAAACCCTAATCAGGGTGCTGCACTGCTCCTATTTGTTTGGTAACAAATTCAAATAGCACTTGTTCTTAGAAAGATGTGAGTCTCTTGATGACATGAAGACTTTATTTGTAGAATATCAATCCAAGACCTTGACTGACCAATCCACAGGATTTTTGATCTTGACAGTTTAAAACCCTAATTCATCTGCATCTTGACAAAGATCAACTTGAAAAAGGTTAAGGTTTGATAACACATGCTTGATGTACCTATAATGATAATGGAATCTGTAACACTTTTTTCTACCCCACAATTTTAATGGCAAAATATTCACATTTATCAGAGTGAAATATTAAACTAAAAAAAATCACCTCAAAGGGTGTACATTTCCCAATAAATCAAATATAGGTCAAGGCTCCGCAAACAACGGGTTTTCCCAAAAGTTATCAAAAATTTCATCAAAAGGTAGCGGAACTCAAAAAGGCATAATCCAAAGTTTTCCTTGCGCCACAAGGCAATCAACATAACAAAAACATCAATAAAATAAGGTTTGACTCAAAGACCCCAACCCGATGTTACACTATCAGAGCAAGAGCCTCTAAGTCAACCACAATGACCAACGACCCAAAACTTCAAAAGTCCTCGACGGCATCCACGGCTAAACCTGGTCATCTGCACGTTACCCACGAGGAGGCAACATTCAAACAGGCATGGTGAGTAAAACGGTTCATAATAATCAATGTAGGAAATCAATTATAAAATGGCGTCATTTTCATATTCAACATCATCATATTCATCAATGGGCATCAAAGGTCATAATATCATAAATTACTCAAGGTTGTCACATAGGGTTTATCAAGGAAACATCAAAAGTCATAACATCATAAATTACACCAAATTATCTCATAAATGCAAATGCAACAAGACTCATGCATGTGGTATCAATCATCACAGCTCGATGGACACTAGGCCATCAACCCTCCATAGATCCCCATCAATAGTATCGATTCTACTCGAGAACCGGAGCACATCAAAATACCTCACATCCACACAATGGGACTGAAGCCAAAGAAATCAAGGTCCTGAACCGAAGTTCGGATGCACATGAATGCATGATGCACACGTCAATAATCATCCTCATAATAACATCATAGGTGCATCATCATTCATCAAAATCATCATCCTAATTCATGTCATCATAGAATCATCAAAACTCATGGAAATATCATCATGGCTCATCAATCATTACATCATAGGAATCATCATATAATGATGTACAAATCACATAGAAATCACAATCATACTCATATTAATTCGTCAAAGAAATCACAGCATCAAAACATCAAGGCATCACTGCATAAAATCGGAATTCGCGAAACTCTGCTACGTTCGTTAGCAAGTTCGTTGTGCGAGTCTGGGACGAGTTTATTCGTTGTGCGAAGGATTCTTCGTTGTACGAACACGCGATTTCAGCAAAACGCTGTTACGCACCAGAACCTTAAATCAACCCAAAAGTCCAACGATTTCCTCCCCCAATGCCCTCAAAACATCCCTAAATCATCCCTAAGGTCTTACGGCGATAAAGGCACAAAATCTACGACTTATTAGGCCAATCCTGTATCATATTCACGCTCTAATTCCCATGATTTCCTTACAACTACACCACAATCATTAGAGTTTCTCACAATCTAATTACCCTACATGGTTGAAACCTCAACAATAGATTTTGGCCACGAAGGCCTACCTTCCCTCAACCCAAATCGACCTCAAACCTATCAGACCATCAGTTCAAATCCCTACACGGTTAAAACCTTAATAATAGATTTTGGCCACGAAGGCCTAATTTCCTTTATCTCAAAATCAGCCTCAAACCCCTTTAAACCCTTAAATCGGCTTTAAATACTTGAAATTACACATTGAAAATAATGAAGGTAATACTCCCCATACCTTAATTGCTGACTCTAAGCCTTCTCCTTGATTCTCAGAAACTTTTTGAAGCTTTTCCTCAATCCTCTTCCTCAGAGCTCTTGCCTCAATTTCTTCTCTTTTCACGGTCTAACAAGAATGAATTCTAATTCTCTCAGAAATCCTTTTTTGTTAAACCTAACTTTGGCTCTATAAATTGGGTTTTTCCAATATTACCCTCACTAACTCCTCCTTAATTGTCCAATTTTCCCTTAATTAACTTATACTTATTTAAATTAATAATAATACCAATATATTCATATTATATACTATTATTTAAATAAATAACTTAAAATCCATAATTCTCCATATTTCACACCAACCACAGAAAATTACCAAAATGTGAATATTATTATTTAAATAAATTAAAGAAATATTCTAATAAATTTGTGCATGTCAAGCAACCTGGATGGTGAACCTGGTCGAAGAGATCACAACGAAGAGTCCTGGAGAAATTATCATGAAGATCAACAACATGTCAGCTATCAACTTGGCGAAGAATCCAATAGCACACGGTCGAAGCAAGCACATCGAAATGAGGTTCCATTATCTTCGAGAGCAGGTAGCAGAAGAGAAGATGAACTTGGAACGCTGCAGAACTAAGAATCAGATTGCATACATCATACGAAGGGAGTGTCAGTCGAATGTTCAAGAAGTTAAGGTCTATGATGAATGTAGATAGTTTAGGCACAATAAATTAGGTGGTGTGTTAAATATGTAATTCATTGTTCTAGAAAGATTAGATTTGATTTAGAAAGATCATATTTGATTTAGAAAGATTAGATTAGATATTTTTGAACTTTTATAGTTTGGCCTTTTGCTTGAGGTGCAAGTTAACCTAAATTTATAAATAGGGATAAACTCTTATTTTGTAAACATCTCATCTCATCATATTTTGTAAACATCTCATCTCATCATATTTTGTAAACATCTCATCTCATCATATTTTGTAATTCATAGTTTACCATTGGAAGTGAAATAACAGAATTGCAAGTGAAATAACATAATTTTCACAGTTTGTGAGCGAGAGTTCTCTATATTAGTTATTACGTGAGTTGAAACAATCTTGAGATCAATATTGATTGAGTGAAAATGTCCATAAATTATGGTTGAATTTTCAACTATGTGTAAATAAGATATAGGATGCACTAAAATATTCTCTTTTATTTAGGTGAGTTCAGATTCTGCTCAAGTAGCGGGTGCACCCACCATGTTTCAGGCCATGAGACATATAGTTGAGAGGTTAGTGAATAACTACTTTGGTGAATGCTCCAACGAAGAAAAATGTGAGTGGAAGTTATGATGGGATAATGTATCAGAGAGTTCTCTATAATTATTCCAAAAAGTGATTTCTGATTTTGGTGAATGCTCCAACTCTCTTTATTTCCCTTTTTAGCAAATACCCTTTAAAGAATATATAAATAATTTGTTTACTTTTATCCCTATGACTAGGGCTGGCAATGAACCAAACCAACTCGAAGATAGTTCGGAATTCGACTCGACAATTAAATCGTTGAACTAGGTTCATGAACCAAATGAGTTGAGTATGAGCGAAAAATTAAGTTCGTTAACTAAATGAGCTGAACTTGAACTATACATAGTTCGACTCGTTAGGTTCATGAGTCAACTCGATTACATATGAAAAGAATTATACTGTCTTTAAGATTAGGTTTAAATATTTACTTCAAATCTTAGACAAATTTAATCTTCAATTTATTAGTTTTTGAATTAGACTCTCAAATGTATCTCTTGAAAGTTGTGTAGGTTTTGAATTAGTAGATTTCAAAGATAAAATTAAATTTCAATATGATAACTTTTATTTTATTTTAATATTTTATTTAAAAAATATATATTTATTTAAAATGTCAAATATACTAAAAATATATATATTTAAAAAAATAGTTTTTAAGTTCGTGAACCATGTAAGCTGAATCTAATGAGATGAACCTAACGAGTCGAACCGAACTGTTCGTGAACTTATAACGAGTCGAGTTTGAGCTTAAAAAAAAGTTCGTGTCGAACTCGAACTCGAACTCGAATTCGAACAATTCTTAACGAGTCGAGCCGAGCTGAGGTGAGTTCAACTCGACTCGACTCATTTCCAGCCCTACCTATGACATATCGTTAAAGGAATATCCTTGATAACATTTTGTTTCGTTTTTCCACTAATTCTATATTTAATTCAAATATGAGAATTTTTCAAACAAAAAAAAAAAGAAACTGAAGAATTAATTGTTATATAAGTTGTTGTTATCCAAGTGAAGGTACACACAAACACACATCTAGCAAAAAGTAATTTGTAACGGGAACCACAGAATGTCACTTTTCTTGTACTTGAAAAAAAGGACAGGCAAGACATTGACTGAACAGGAACATGTTATTGTGGTAGTCGTGGACTCCATTGTTACCTAGCCTTTCATTAAGGCCAATAAGTTGGATACGATTTAAGTATCTCTCAAGCGTTGGTTGTGTGTGGTTCTCTTTCCTTATCCCAACCCCAAATTTTTGAACTCTTCTATATATATAAACAACGTGTATTATCCTCTTCACAAACTTTCTTAATCCCTTATTTTGTGTAACACACAATCATGTCTGATCAAGTAAATGGCTTGCAACACAGCCAAGCATGGCCAGAGCTACAGCTTCCAGACTTGTTACATAGTAGTGAGACTCTTCGACAAGTTCATGCAACAATTGAAAAGGAATGGGGTTTCCTTCAACGGTCGGCTTGTCAAACGGCGGCTGGAAGGGCTATGTGGAAGCATGTGATCCATGATCCACTTGCTGCTTTACTGGCAGGGGAGAATTATTTGAGAACCCTTCATGAAAAGATGATGAAAGACCATCTCAACAATGCTCATGAGACTTCTGGAGTGATCCTTGCAGTTCGAACCCTTTGGTTTGATTCTAGACTTGAAGATTTTCTCAACTCACCTAATGGCAGAGAAGCACAGGTTGTTCTGCTAGGTGCAGGTTTGTAACCACTCAGTTAATCATGTCCTTATCTTTGTTAAAATAAACACAAACACACACAATTTAAACCTTTTAAGAGATGGTATCTTTCATATTATCTTCATTTATCCTACTCCTAGTCAATTTGTGGATACAAGCAGGACCTTTCAGACATGATTAAAATGTAACAACACATTTTAAACAAGAGCACTAAAGTTCACAACGATCATTAGACATGACAAAATTGGACCACACCCAGTCTGACCAGCAGCATCCAATCATTATCGCTTGCAATGAAACCTTGAAGATCTGCACTAGAAAGGATTATAGTCATTCAAGTTAGCTAATATATATTCTTGCAAAATTTGATGCAGGAATGGATACAAGAGCATATCGTTTGAATTGCTTAAAGAACAGTGATGTCTTTGAGGTTGATTTTCCAGAAGTCTTGGAGGTGAAAAACACTATTCTGCAAGCAGCTAAGGAATCCACATTCGATTCGCAGCATAGTATATCCAAAGCAAAATCATTAACTAGAGTAGCAGCAGACATAAGAGAAAATGATTGGATGGAAAAGCTTCAAATTGCAGGTTTCTTGCCACAGAAGAGCACAGTTTGGATTCTAGAAGGTATCTTGTACTACCTCGCCCAATCCAAAGCCATGCAACTGCTGAGGATTTTAGCTAGCAATTGTGTCTTAACCCACACAGTCATCATAGCAGACTTCATGAATAAGTCGTCAACCACACTATCCGATTCAGTATTCCAATTTTACAGTGACTGGCCAGACCAACTTTTACCATCTATTGGCTTCACTCATGTAAAACTTTCACAAATTGGAGACCCAGATGCTCATTTTGGCCTCTTGAATGATCCGTTAAATCTATTCAACAAGCTCCTCAGCTTGCCTAGGTCATTACAAACCAATCCAGATGACGGAGCACCATGCTGTCGCTTGTACTTGGTGGAGGCTTCTGGTTCACCCGATCAAAATTCTGCGCATAATAAGGAGTCGGTCATTCAGTCTTGATACGCAGAATAGCAAATGGAGATTACATACTACATTTTAATGGCTAATTCTTCCAAGAATTGTTGGTCCACTTGTACTCTTGCTACACTATTGGCAAAAATGCTAGAAGGGCAAAATGGCTTATTTATATTTTACACAAGAGGGGCAAAATAGCTACAGACAAGCAATTGACCTAAATTATTTGAACCTTATTTTTGTCTTCTTGATGAAATGATTTTACGCTTCTATTACATGATGAAGAATATCATAGATAAATAATAGTACAAGAAAAAAAAACATCTTCAAGTTTCAATTGTCATTTTCTTCGGTTTTCAATTTGATTATACAGCTTACATTAAATCAAGTCAGTTTAAGAACACTTGTACTAAGAAAAACTAACATATAACTCCGTGTAATCGAGAATCAGTAAAGAACCCAACAAAATGGGTTTGAGAAATTTTTCAAAAGGATTTAAAAATGAGCTTTATGTAGCGGATGAGCCCCAACATAGAACAAACTAGAAATTTCTAGGGAATGGAATAAAAAGAGCACGTGTTTCTCTAGAAACTATTGTAAGAATCAAACATACTATAAGTCATAGAAGACAACTATTGACACGTACTGACTTTAACCATCACAAAAACATATTATGATATTCTCAGTTGTCAGCACATTGACTATGACAAAAAATTGGGCTCTCAATAGAAGACTCTCCAGGTGAATAAGTATTCACACACTAATAATGTCAATCTTCAGATCAGTTAATCAGGCGGCTCAATTCAGGGTAAGAACGAGATTCAGGTCTATTTATTAATCCAAATTGTATACTGGCGATGCTCAATAGCACTTTTGTTGAGTTTGAGACTTTAGATGCAGCCAAGTGCAAATATTCATGTTACGGCGGTAATGATAGTAAATTTATATAAAGACATAAATAGATAAAGAAAAGAAATCAGAGAAAAGTTGACATAATAAAACATGTACTTTATTGATGAAGTCAGAAGCACGTACTTAAATGACATTTTAAAAATTAACCTTCCACTTTGAAAAGTAGAACAGACTATTTACAGCCTCAGATTTCAAGACAATCCCTAATTCCTTGCTCAAATTTGTCGAGACATGTTATTGTATCCGATATGGCATCTGCTATTTTTCTCCTGAGGTAAAAAAGATTGATTTCAGAGGCAAGTCATTGATTTCATAATCACAGTTAGAGGTACCAAAATAATAAACGTGATCATCCCAAATAACAACAAGCAGCAAGAAGTTTGAAGATAAATAAAGGGATACACAAAAAGAGTAATACAGGTTCAGTTTTTAAATAAATTATAGCATAAAGAATTTTCATTTAAATTATTGTACACCTCAATTATCCTGGAGCCTTTAATTGAAAATTTACCTATCTGATGCAAGATCAATGTTGGTTTCACTTGCCATCCCACTGATAGATGTGAAAGATCTGCAGATAAGAAGAAATATGAGAAACGGGCATTCACCATCATATGTCATGAAATATGGTAATCGATATGCACTTTGGCTACATTGTTAATCTCGGATAGCGTTGTGTAACATCAATAACTCCCTAAAATGCTAGTGGTATAGCGGATAACCGCTATTGAAAAGACTAAAAATCAATGTACAAAGTAAAACATAAATACTCAAAAATAGACTAATACACAGTTAAAGAGATCATGACACTTAATAGTTAAAGAACCAAAAACTATAGAGGAATAAAACTTAAGCAGAGAAGAAAAATAAAACAGAACTGAACTAAAAGTATGAAGAACAGCATAACGATTATTTGTGAGCAAAAATGCTATTCTGCTATAGCGGTGCTATTGCCTGCTACTGACAACATAACATCAAAGGATATTAAAAAGGAAGAAAAACAAAGGTATAAGTGAGTGAAGATAATGCTACAGGTATCATAATACATGAAGTTAGCAAATAAGAAATTTAAAGGGAAGTAAGCAAAGAAGAAAAAAGGCAGCAGACAAAGTTGAATCTACCGGATAGAATAGAAACTCTGGTATTTACCATCAACTGCCAAGGTTTAACTCTCTAATCTTTTGAGGAGCCAATGAATTGTCAATAAACTTAAAGGGTTCAATTTAAGTACAATTTACATAAGAGTAGAAATTGATTTACTCACGATTCTTATATATTGAGAGGGGACATTAACTTAAATAGGATAATCCACTCAAAAAGAGATTACATATAAACAAAAGAAAGATAATCAACCCAAACTCGTTAATTATCATTGTGATGACCCCAATATTGGAAATATTTCTTGATATTAAAATAACTTTTTTGATTTCAAGCATTTATATTCTTGCTTTTATATGTTGTTATTATTATTTTTCTTTTACATTATTATACTCTCCTCCTAGGAGCTTAAGGTGCTAGCATAAGGCTCGTCTCATGGATAGTAGCACTATTTCATTTTTACCATGCCCTCATAAACAAGAGTCACTTGAGCTTGAAGTGACACAACAGGAAGTCCTGTTGCCACCATATGATCTAATCAATTTTATTTAAAAGAACAAGGATTGAGCAATTTCATGACAAAAAAAACAAGGATTGAGCACTTTCATGACAAAAATACAAGGATTGAACACTTATTCACTTGGTCTTAAAGGCTTTGACACATGTCAAGGACCTACGTAAAATCTTAAGCCAATGGGTAAATGGTCATTAATGGCTTTATTATATTTCATTATTTCTATCAGTTACCATAAACAAAACCTTGAATAACATTAATAATTTAAAACAATAACCTAAGCTTCATTTAGGCATAGCAAACCGTTTTAAAGGCATGATGAAACTAGTTTCACATCTAAAAATCTTCTAGAACCTTTGTAGTCTATATATTATCCTCACATAAATCTATCCAATCCAATCATTTGCTTTACAGTATTCTCAAATAGTTAAGTTACTTGGAACCATAGAGACTAAAAAAATGAAATATTTCAGTATTGAAAAAAGGATCTGATGGACACTAACTAACACAGTAAGCTACAACACATAGATGCTGTAAAGTGGAATACCTTATAAGATTATCTAGCAAAGCCTCAGCTTCTAACTTTACAGGGTCCTTCTTTCCCAGTAAGGAGGCTGCATTTTTCACAACCAACCGAAAAGTGCACACCTGAGCATAAAAAAAGAAGATATCGCAGCTGATAAAGCATCCACTAAATCTAACAGATAACAATGATGTTACAAGAATTGCCTCGTGTTTAACATGAAATTTCATCAGTCTCCACTCATTACCACAAAGATCCATTTACAATCCAATTATAATGACAACAATAATCAATATAATGATTAACTCAGTCAGTATTTCAAGCTTGCAAGCAAGCATTTGGTAATTGATGCACAATAACGGACGCTGTTTTCTACTTTCCAAATATCAAATTATATCATCCTAACCCTAACTAGCAAAAAACATTCAAATTATGCATCAATGTGAGTATATAGCGAAGACGAACCTCGACACCGGTATTAGCTTGGAAAGCGACGAAAGAATTCCTATCCTCCGGGACACAATCCCTGGCAGCAGATCTGAATAGCTGCTGAAATTTCTGCAAATCCTCATCGGTAAAATTAGCATCAGTTTCCGCTGCAAAAATGAATTGTAACAAACCCTAATAAGATACAATAAGCAATATGCAGAGAGAGAAGAAACTAGAAAATGAAAAATAAAAATCTTACTGAGATAAATATATACAGAGCGAAGAGTTTCGCGGGAAGCATCAACGGGAGCTAGAAGAAACTTTGAGGATTTTTTCTTTTGCTCTTTCAGCCAATCCTTTGGTCCTGCTAAACGGTTTCAAAAGTTAGGGTTATTGACCTGAAGTGATAAATTGAGAAAGAGCTGTTGTGAGTGTGCGCTTACAGATGCCGATGTCAATGGCGGAGGCGGGTGCGGAGAGGGAGAGGAATGAAAGTAACGCGATATTTCTGCGGGAGAGAATTTGAGGAGGGGAGAGGGGAATGTCGCGTTTTGGAGGGAAGGAAGATTGGGCGGTAATGGTGGATGAGAAAGAGTTGAGAGCGGAAACTGCGGATGGTAACGGCATTGTTAGTTATTGTTTTGCTTTACACGCGATTATCTTATCTTTCACGGTTTGTTGCTGTTTCGGGTCGGATTGTTTATTTCTTTTGCTCTATGTGAGTGACCATGACTAGTCTCAATTTACATTTTTTCTAAATAAATCTTTTTTTTTTAAATAAAAAAACTCCCTTAATTTAATTTTAATTTATTGTTTTGCATTATTCCTTCAACTAAAAATTATTACAAAATAGTTTCTTAAAAATGATTCAGGTACTTGAATTAGCCTTTTCGTTATTTTTTAAAAACATATTAATTTTTGACTTATTAGACATGTCAATAACACAAATAAATAGGATTGACAAACGAGCATGTTGGTTTCGTTTAGTCCTGTCTAACAAAAGTCCGTAAAAAAATGAGGTGAATCGGGGCGATCATAGTTAGGGGTGTTCAAAACCAAAACAACTCTATAGAAAACCACAAACCAAACCAAAGCAAATTAAAACTGCAAAAAATCACATTTGGTTCGGATGTGTTTGTGTTAATTTTTTCACAAAACCACAGCTTGTATTTTGCAAATTGAACTAAACCAAACCAAATTGCATTATGTTATAACTCAAACTTCACTTATCCCATATCAAACCCAAAACTCAGACTTATTATGTTTTAACCTTACAAATATTCTCTTACTTACGCTTAGGATTTTAGTTTCAACCTTTTCAAATCTCTCCTATTAGTATCGCACATTCTTTTCATCTTCTTTGTCATGTACGTCTCACTTGTTAGACTCTAATCTCTCCTCTCTTAAGTTCTTTATTTTTTTCATCTTTTCATTTTTATGTATTGTTTTTTCTTTCAATTATGTATTTATCACACCTTTCTTCTCTAATCTTTCATCACTTATGTTCTTTCTTTTTCATCTTCTCTAATATATCCTCTCCTCCATTTTATTCTTTTTATTATAATATTT